AATTCATTTGTTTGGCATTGCATATGAAATATTAAGCAAGTTCATGATCTTAGATTGAACTATGCCATATGAACTAAATTTTACAATTAATTCACCTAAGATTTTAACTAAAGTAATAATGTTGAATTTACAACCTTTATCACTTACCAGATAATGCAGGAAATGCAGCATAATATTTATTGGCCAGTTCGACAGGATTTTCACAGCGTTTAGCATATTTTCTGTTGAGTTTGCTTGTTGAAAATCTTTTTCGGGAGATTGTTCGTTTTCGATCTCGCGAAGCTTTGCACAAAGCTCATCAACTAAGCTTTCAATTCCAGCCTTCTGTTAAGCAAGTAATTCTAAATCAAAACAATAGTATGTTTTTGTGATACTTTGAATTGTGTTCTGTCCATTGTGTGAAAGAGGATAATAATGTCTTATATACAATTTTATATATAAATGTTCATAATTAAAGAAATTTCCATGTTAGATGCAAAAATATGCAGACAGGAATAAAAAAAACTGATAATAGTTCACATTCTGAATTATAATGTGAGTGTAATGTAAGTATATAAATGCCAGTCAATTTATAAACTAATCTAAATTATTCACCTGTTCAGAAGCTGATTTGAGACATTCTACAGCAGCGTAGCGTTTAGCTTGTTCAGAAGTCCACAGACCGTGATTTGTTTCAAACCACAAGCAATCTTCCTCTACAACTTGTGTGCTTTTCCTATTCTTCTTATTCTAAATAAAAGAGAAATACGTTAATGAAAATATTCAAGCAATATTAATTAACAATAAACAAATTTAATTTGAAGTAACAAGTTAGCATAATAAAATAGTCAAATTAGTGTTATATTTAGGTAAGGATGCTGTTAAATATAACAAAATATAATCAATAATTACCTCAATAGCACTAGTTGCCTCTCGCAGATCTCTTGGGTTGAATTCGACTGGTGCATGTAGAAGAGACAGCACAAGTCTAGCGTAGACTCGGCCGTCTAAACCGTGTGAATCAAGTTCAGTGGATAACCAGCCTCCGATGCCAGACACTGTCCGGCCAGATACCAGCTGCGGGTACTTCATAACAGGCTACAAACACAACATGCATAAAAAAATATGTGCTACAAAAAAACACACATGCAAAATTACACCCTTCAAACATTTAATTCAAATCAAAAATGTGTGGGCTCTCTTAGGAATGTTAATGTGATTGTAGTTGTACTACTTATAGCCAATTAAATTAAGTCTAAACAATTCTGCCTTAAAATTTGAAGTTTAGTAAATGACAGCGCATAGTAATTTTGATGATTACTTTTAATAAATCACAACGTAAAGAAATCTACAGCACTAAATGAATTAATTATAAAATCTCTTACCTCAACATAGGTTGTCCATTCAGGATTACAAATGCAAATTTGATGTGTTCACGAGCATTATAATAAGCAGTTTGTCAATTGTTTTATTTTGCTTAAAAATATTTCTTATACAAGATCAAATTGCACAATTAAATATATATAATATATACGATTAAATTGGTTATGCAAATAAGCTTCTAATTTTACTTTTAAATTACTTTGACACAATAGTATAATTAAGAACTACAGCAATGTTACTATTGCTAAGAATAACTTAAAAATATTATAATATGATTTCAGATAAAATTGATGTTTTGGTAAATTATAAGTATTACTTTAAAATTGAATAAAACATTTTAAAATGATCTTAATTGGTAACCGTAAAGGTTGACAATTATTCTGCTTCAAAACATAACGCTCTTTACTTCATTTCTGAAGCGGGTGAATCATATCCATTCATTTCCATTGCAGGACTGAAAAAAAAACGACACAAATTATTGAAATGATTATTTCATAACACATGACTACAAATCACAAAATTTATCATCAATTTCAATCAAAAGCGTACAGACCTTAAACAAAATTTTTATTACAAAATTTGCTGCAACATTTATATTAATTACAGCTTTGCTTGATAACACAAAGCTCCATCGAATGGAATGTTAGAAGTATTCATAATATTGATTTATTATTCAAGTCACCATCAACAAAACATTTATGAGGTTATTTAAAATATATAAGTGTATAAATACAGTACAGTTCAAACTGACAAGAGACAATGAAAACATAATTTGAAATTATTCAAACATGATACATTTAGATAAAAACATCATCATTTTAGATAAAAAGGTACAGCAATCAGGAGATATTAATTGTTATATTATAGTTTTTCATATGTTCTTTCTTTGAAAAATTAGCACTTCTTTCTTAGAAAGGAAAAGCGAATGACTGGCAAAAATTATTATAAAACGTCATCCATACATACATCTCATCACCAGTTATCTCCAGTAAACAAAAAATTTTCGAAATCGATCTCAAAAATAAATAGACTTATCACTGGGCTCATCATAAAATGAATCACTTGAATTGACTCATTGTCGAAATGTACACAAACAAAGAAATTTCAATATCTCCGTGGTGCGCAATAAACAAACGACTTATTGTCAAATACGCTGTATTTTATTCTATACGCAGTTCAACTAGACTGGCTTAAGAAAGTGCAATGCTAAAAACTTATAAATAACTCACGATTCACTTGAAAATCACAACACATACCCGTAAAACGCATCGAGATATATTGGACACCAATAAACAATGCAAAATTCGAATAACCTTGTTGATTTTGTCAATCGTTTCGAACGGACACCTAAGATTGCGCCATATAGGCAGTTTATTGCATATGCGAATGTAACATCTTTCGAAAGTGCACGGCGGTGTGAAAAATATCCTTGTCGTATAGATAATGGCATAGAAGAAACGTTTCGAATGTCAATTAAAGCGTATTCAACTCACCTGAATGAATTGGGTGATGTAAAACACCCCATGCAGTCTACAAGCCTGAGAGAGACACAAAAAACATGGCCGCTACGTATTTTGTACCAGCTCACGCGATTGCAGTCAGTCAACTACGACAGGCAGTGTGAAGTGCGCCGCTTGCAATCAATAACCCACAAGGCGGGATTCGGGCACATTTGGACTGTCAGTCAATACATATCGAAAATGAGATCGCACCAAGTCCGGGGAGCTGAGTTTAATTATGCATTTGCACTACTATTCACTTATGACTACTTTAAATGCAAAATCTAAATGAAACATCACAATAAACACATAAAAACAATTAAATCAACACACAACACCACAAAGTAACGCTTTACAACAATGGCGTTCGCACTAAAAAGGATCGGCAACCTGTTGGAACGAAAAATCGACACTCGACATCGGCGAGTGGCGGCGGAGAGCACGATCGAAAAGGAGAGGAGAAATACAAATATATGAAAAACGATTCCAATATTTGTGGTAAACGCTCAGACAGACAAGAAAAATTCTTAAAATACATATATTTATTCTACGCTCTGTTTCAGAAGAGCTACACAGGGTTCCAATCGTTCCAATACTCTTTCTTTAATTAAAATTAGCAATATTACAAGTAAATACTGAATTAATTGCACTTACTAACGTTTTTTATTCAGTCTCTTCTTATTAAAATTCGCGATGAGTATCAAACTATCTTCTAATATCTATAGAAATATTTCATTTTAAGATTTATCTACAAAGGACAATTAAAAAGTAAATTTTAATAAAATATATTTATCTGATCGTTTATAAATCTACAACTTCCAGTTTTACATACATATCATTCCTAAAATTAATTAAAATATCATTATTTTGCAATATTCTTTTACTGATTGTGATAAATTTAAATACTGATAAAATATACGCCTTGCAAAAACATTCATTTATTATATTTGCAGATAGATAAGAGAACATAAAACATAGATAAGAATGTATTAGCAGTATTGTAAGTTGTAAGAATCATTATCTTGAAATGTTTCTTTAATTTAGTACAAGACGTATAAGTAATAACACGTAATAAGAAATCAAAACATTGCATTTAAATGTTGACTATTGCAGTTCAATTGACGTAATGCATAAATTCCTGAAACACAAAAGTTGTTTAAATATAAACATTTATACAAGTCCCATTATTGACTGCGTTCGATTAGTGATAATGGAACTCAACATCAAGCCATTGTAATATAAGCGGTTAAGATAAATATTTAATTCGATCTAATCAGAATAAGGAAATAAATTATAACTAGAAAGAGAAGTCACTTTCATTTTTGCCATTACTTTTATTTCATTTCTCTAAGTTGATCACCTTGAAGGTTGTCAATAAGTAGTTTCAGTTTTTCATAAACAGATGACACTGACCTTCGCCAAGGGAAACTGTCAGAAAAACGATACAGGGTCATAAATTTCTAGGTTATGAATGTTTTTAAATGTAGAGATAATAAACAAACATTAAACGGGGATTGTTTTAATCGTTATCAATAGTTTAATGAATAACGGTGATTTGTAGATAAAACTAATGATAATCAATATATAACTTTTTATATCATTTGCGTTTGTTTTATATATCAACATGCATTGAATTTGAATGGTTGATCACATTCACAAGAATCAAGAAAAATGGAGAGAACATCTAATGAGTACCCCATTTGTCTTCAGCCTGAGCTGTTAGATAGGGATACAATTATACAAGTTTTGACTGAGGTATTGTTATATTAATTTGCTGTACTGTAGAATATGCTCATACGGGTTAAGACTTGTAATGTAATTTATAGACTCATTATTTAATATATTATATATTCATAATCATATTCTTGATAGGTTTTCGAAAAAAAATCAAATATGTATCAGGAAGTCTATATTGTATGTGTTTAAGGGGTTACACTCATTGAGTATCAATACTTTCATCGTTTTCATCTGCAGTGCACCTTAAATTCTATGTGCCTTGCAAAAATGACTTTGGTTCTGAATATATATTAAATAACTTCAATATTAATTTCATTACCTCTCCTTCCACCCAAAAATTTACAAAGAAACACCAATTATTTATTATTCTACTACAATATAATAAATAAAATATCTATAATCTATAATAAGGATATCCCTTTTAATTAAATTTTAATTTAATATCTTCAATATCTTCTGCTATTTTCTTTAGAGACAGTTGAAACTGAAAAATCTAAATTCCTTATCAAGAGAAGAATTGATAGTCATATACAAATCATATGTCCTACCGTTGCCGCAAAGAACTAAATCAAATGCAGAAACTAGTCACAAACATGACAATGTAAATGATAATAATCACATAACAAAGAAACTAAAAGTAGACCATTTTGAAAGTAATAATAAAGAATCGAGAAAACGTAATGGCCATGGTCTCAGTGAAGTGAGTAATAATATTCATAAATATATAATAATAATGCTGGTAATATATTCTTCCTTATTAATAAGTAAAACTACTCATTTGTTCAGCAAATGTTTAAATATGGTATGATCTTCACTCTGGAAACTATCTTTTGGTTGTTTATGATAAAATATTCATGATATCTTTTCTTACAGGGTGATGTTACAAACATAAAACGCAAACGTCAGAAAATAACTTGGCCTTAAATATACTTAACTAGTTATATTGAAAGTATAGCTTAAGATTCTTTTTACATATTGTAAGTTAGTGATATGATCTGTCTAACAGAGTATTTTAATTTTTTACGGGTATTGCAAGATCGCTTACCACATTTATCAATTGAATAAGGTGTTGCAATTAAACATACACTAACGTAAAATAGGAATAGGAATGTTTCAAGTTTTATAAACTGCTGTATATGAAGTCACAATTTAAAGTCATTATTGTGTTAAAAAATAAAATGAGATTACTGAAATTAATTTTAAACTGAAGGTTTGTGAAGGGTTTTAAGGTATATATATATATATATATATATATATATATATATATATATATATCCACTATATACAGTTTGTAATTTTAAATATGTATTTTTAGATTATATTCAAGTATCTCTATTATTACATTGGCTGTAATATTTTTACACAGATAATATAAATCAAGTCAACTGTAACGATATAGCTTTTATTCCAGATTTGCATTTTTACAATATCTCAATGTTAACAATATACATAGAATAATCTCCTTTCGTATCATAAATTTTCAACATTTAATATATCATCTATATTCAGACATTTAACGGATGATGTATATATATATTTATTTTTTGCTATATACATTTACATTTAAAACCTTTTTGATAATAATTTATCACATCCAACATACTGAAAATAATTTTATGACGGTAATGTAAAGGAGAATATTGTAATGGATATAGGAACAGAATTTTTTTTTTTTTTTGAACACAAGCGTGAAGCGTTAGGAACATATTGCATTTTTCTGTGTATATTATTTCTAATCAAAATAACAGGTGGAGATTATTTCATTACTGTATTATAATTTCAGGCTTTTAAAAATCTTACGATGTGAACAAGAGTTAATCAAAATATTATCAAGCTGCTCAAAAAACTGTATATAATCAATATTGTATAATAAAGTGCCTAAACTTTGTGTTACAAATATTTTTTAATCAATTTATTTTTATCAACTCATCACAAAAAGCGTTTGCTTAAAATAATCACTGGATTTTTTTGTAATTGTTAGCTAAATTGTTCCTTCTGTGGAATGTTATTTTTTTTTAATTTTATATCTTAAATTAGCAGACTATTTGTAAGTGGTATTTTATTATAAAACTACATTATACACATAAATGTATCACAAACAAATTAATGGTAAGACGAAAGTAACTTTAAAACACTTTAAAGAATGATTAGAGTGCATGTATGGCTAATATTATATCTAATGTGGTTTCGAAAATAATAAAATATGTAGCAAATTATTTTTATTATTAGGGTAATTCATAATTTGATTAAAAGAATTTTTACTTTAATTACAACTGGATTATTTACTTCTCTGAAAACATTGAAAAAATATTTATTTATAATTGCTTGGGATAAATGTGTTCTAGATTTGATTGATAAAGTTCTATATAGTATGAAAACGTTCTAGATCATTCTGAAAAAGTTCTGGATAATCTAAAAATGTCTTACGTAATCCGAAAATTTTCTGGATAGTCTGAAAATATTCTAGATTATCCTTAAAAAGTTCTGGATTAGCCTGAAAATATTCTGGTCAGTCTAAACATGTTGTAGATTAGTCTGAAAATGTTTTGATTAGTCTGAAAAGGTTCTAGATTAGACTGAAATTGTTCTAGATAAATCTGAAAATTTTCTAGATTAGTCAAAATATTTTAAATTATTCTCAAAACGTTCTAGATTAGTCTGAAAATGTTCTGGTCAGTCTGAAATTGTTCCAGATTAGTCTAAAAATTTTCTAGATTAATCTAAAAATGTTCTAGATAGACAGAAAATAATCTGGATTAGCCTGGAAATATTCTGGTCAGTCTAAACATGTTTTAGAAAAGTCTGAAATTATTCTAGATTATTCTCAAAATGTTCTGTCTGGACATTCACAAAATGTTCTGAATAATCTAAAAATATTCTAGAATATCCTGAAGATTTTTAGATTAGCCTGAAAATATTTGGTTAGACCAAAAATATTCAGAGTAGTATGAAAATTATTCTCAAAATGCTCTGGATAGTCAGAAAATTTTCTAGATAGTCTAAAAATATTCTAGATTATTCTAAGGATGTTCTAGACCGGCCTGAAAATATTTTGGTTAGACTGAAAATATATACTGAATAGTCTAAAAATGTTTTAGATTATCCTGATAATATTTTCCATTAGTTCTATTTAAAAATATAGTATTTTTCCAAAAGCTATATTACTTTTTTTTCTAATTTAGACTAGAATAATAAATCCTTTTAACCAAAACAAAAACTGAATCGAATTACCCTAATTTTTAAATAAATAAGCAACATGAGTAATTATTAGGTCAAAAGACAACTACATACAAAAGATTAAATTTAGTCCAAAACTTACAATCATCATCAATCTGACTAAACACAAAATCTGATCAAATTATTGAGGATGATTAAATCGTTTTAAACTTTAATTGATTCCATTGTATAGACTGCCTTGATTACTAAAATTAATAAATACATCTATAAAAAGAGCACACGAGTGACTTTCATCATCGGGATATCAGATCACGAGTAACATTATTTAATTTTTTTTGTAAAATTATTTTTCGTGAATGGTAAATTTGTGTTATCAATTAAATCATTACATAATAGGCAAGATAAGCATTGGCAATAATAGTATTCATAAGAATTGGCAAATAAATATAGAATATATTTATATATCCATAAAAATTGAAAAATAAAATATAATGATTCAATTTAATATCTGATATAATTTATCCTTTCACATTTAAATTGTCGCAATTGTTTTCTAATTGTTGATATCCAGAAAGTATCTCGAGTGCTCCTGTTTAAAACGAAAGAGTATTATCGGATAACTTAGCATAAAACTTAATTACTTTCAATTATGGATATATGCCCATGGAACGCTATATACAAGTTAATACATATACATGACTTTTATATAATAAGTTCTAGGAAGGCTCATGGAACATGTTCAATACTTTTTTTGTAATTATTTTTTCGAGGTGGCTGCCACCGAATCTAAACTTATATCACACTGGTTTTGTATAACACTGATCATTAACTAATAGTTATAAAAAGAAATATGTAATGTAAACTTAATACCCCGCTGTTAGTCTGAAAATGTTCTAGATAGTCTAAAAATATTCTAGATAAGTGCAAAATATTCTAGATAAGTGTAAAAATATTTTGGACTAGTCTGAAAATATTCTGGTCAGTCTGAAGATGTTCTAGATTAGTCTGAAAATGTTCTAGATTTGCCTGAAAATGTTCTAGATTAATCCAAAAAATGTTCTGAACTATCTAAAATATTTTCAGACCATCCAGATTATTTTCAGTTTATCTAGAACATTTTTTGACTATTGGGGATATGTTCAGAATAATCTAGAACATTTTCAGACTACTTAGAATATTTTCAGTCTGACAACAATATTTTCAGGCTGATCTAGAATCTTTTCAGATTAATCTAGGTTATTTTTAGACTATCTAGAACATTTTCAAATTAATATGATATTTTCAGTTTAGAAATATTCTGGTCAGCCTAAAAATGTTCTAGATTAGTCTGAAAATGTTCTGGCCAGTTTGAACAAGTATTTAATGATCAATAGTTTGAGAATTTTCTGGTCAATCTGAAAATATTCTGGATTAATCTGAAAATGTTCCGGTAACTCTGAAAATAATCTGGATTAATCTAAGAATGTTCTAGATGGTCTGAAAATTTCCTGGTCAGTCTGAAAATGTTTTGGATTAGTCTGAAAATATTCTAGATTAGTCTGAAGATGTTCTAGATTAATCTGAAGATGTTCTAGATTAATCTAAAGATGTTCTAGATTAGTCTGAAAATGTTCTGGTTAATCTGAAAATGTCCTTGATTAGACTGAGAATGTTCTGGTCAGTCTAAAAAATGTTCTATATTAGTTTAAAAATGTTCTGGTCGATCTAAAAATGTTCTGGATTAGTCTCAAAATAATCTGATCAGTCTAAAAATGTTCTAGGCTACTCTGAAAATGTCCTGGATTAGTCTAAGTATGTTCTTGAAAGTCTGAAAATGTTCTGGTCAGTCTAACAATGCTCTGCATTAGTCTGAAAATGTTCTTGTCAGTCTGAAGATGTTCTGGACTAATCTTAAAAAGTTCTATATTAGTCTAAAAATGTTCTGACCGGTCTAAAAATGTTCTGGATTAGTCTGCAGATGTTCTGGACTAGTCTGAAAATGTTCTGATTAGTTTAAAAATGTTCCGGACTAGTCTGAAAATATACCGAACTAATCTGAAATTGTTCTGATCAGTCCGAAAATGTTCTCAACTAGTCCGAAAAAATTCTGGTTAGTCTTAAAATGTTCTGGATTAGTCTAAGTATGTTCTTGAAAGTCTGAAAATGTTCTGGCCAGTCTAAAACTGTTCTAGATTAGTCTGAAAACATTCTTAATTTAGAGTTTAATAAACTAGCAGATCTTGCACTTAAGGTCAAAAAAATCTCCAAAAAATACTAGTCTTTAATAATTTGTTTTTAATTCAATCATTATTTGTTTAAATTAAATAAAATGGTATGACCATAAATAGATCTATTAAAAATAATCATAAAAAAAAACAATTATAACCCAAATTTTCGCAACTACTATCCATTACCATTAGTTAATGATCGGTAAACGTTGGCCACAATGGTCGCGTCTGGTCAGTTTCCGCATTAGACCGGTGTCTCGTGGTCTGTTTCCTCTATACGACCCAGGCGCCACGCGTTCGGGTCGGTCGCTGCTGAAACCATCACAACGGCATATTAAAATAATAGAAATTGAGTAAAATTGAGAAAAAAATAGTAAAAAAGTGATTGAGAAATTTATAGAGTGAAATTCAAATGCAAGTGATTTGATATGATTGAATAAAATGTTTTTTTGTTGGTGATTGAATTTACAGGCAAAACGCGCACTGATAATGGTGATATGGGCGAATTGTGATATAGAATGGCAATTTATATGACAATTTTAGTATTCTACCACATCATTTGGCAGAGCTTTCACACGTAAAATGTGCGTGATAATTTTTTTTAAACTTAACTTAAATACTTTTTACAGTTATTTTACAAATTGAAACACATGTTTGCCTCGACAAAAGGCTTTGAGTTTAAATCAAAAGTGTAAAATTACGTGGATACTCTTAAGAATTCAGATTTTGAAAGGTTACACAAATAAAATATACTAAACTATAATTTTTACTATCTAATAATCTAATAATCTAAT